GTCTCTGTTTCAGTGCAGGAAGGGTCTCTGGGACCAATCAAAACCCCTCGCAGCAGCTGATCCTCGCCATGTCATCAGCAGCTGCGCCTCTCGAAGTTGCTGCTGATGCCAATGTCCATCGAGGGTGACATGGTCTGCTTTACCGGGTACCTCGCAAACACCACGATGAAGTGTTTGTGCAACCAGAATACTGCAGAGCTGAAGATGCGAACAAGCAGCGGGGTCGATATCTACAGCTGAGTAAGAACTATTGCGAACAAGGTGGGAAGTTTGAAGTATAGGATGTTATATAAGTGTTGGAGCTAGTTTGGAATTGAATCTATCTGATGTAGGGAAGTGCTAGTCTACAAAACTCACCTGGTGAGGCGAGAGCGAAGCACAGACAAAGGAATCAATTGCTCATGTTGGCAGCCAAACCCTAGCACCTCGCTGGTCAGCGTAATAGAAACTACTAAATGACTAGCTAGAAAAGGCAGTTTCCCATAGCAGTCGTGGAAGAAGCCACGTTTCGAGCTTGAGCGATCTAATCGAAAGTTCTGTCTGTTGACTTCGGCAGTGTTGTGTCCATCTGTGGTCCCAGGAAGCAGAAAAACTTCACAGTGTTTCACCAACTTGGGATTGGACCAAGCATCAGCTTGCATATCGATTTCCTGACTCACAAAGCTTTGAGATTCTTACAACTTACAAGACACTCCTTGCAATATTCCTAGAATGAATAAACAATCTCTTTGAGATTAGAGAGAATTGGTCATCCAAGGGGCCATGCCACTCACGTAACCATGATTTGTTTCAGCGTGTGTACATCTCCAAGGACCGGTGACCTATTAATCGCACACAGCTTCCAAGCTGTTTGAAAGCTTCTCTGACTGGCTCACTTGTCATACTTCCCATTGGTAAAGAAGCGATGAAGGATGTCATTGCTGTTCGTGGCCTCGGCAAGCGGCTCATGAAGGGTTTCAGGGCACTGCAGGGCTTGGAAACATATGCAGGTGTGGTCAAAAAACAACCACGGGTCAGGTCCAGTGATGACTCTCGTGGGAATGCAAGTCAAGTCCTGTCTGGTTAGGCTAGGTTCTCAGCCACAAGACCGGCCACGTGTCTTTTGACATGGCTATTTCCCGTGAAGCCATGGATAAGCCATGTCTGTTGTCAGGTCCAGCACCACGGGGAGACACCCACCTGTTGTTTCCGACCCACGTGACTCACGGCTCCTGACCCAGCCGCCCCCCCTTGAGTCACGCGCGCGGGGAGTTCCGGATCTGTCCAAGAGGATCTGAGGAGAATCTTGGGTTTCTTAGCTCATCTATCGGTCGGCCGGGCTTCTTGGTCTCCAAATGTTTATCTCAAACATTCTCCATATATATATATATATATTAATATTCTCCATATATCTCTGGGTACTAGAAGCTGTTTACCAGCTTCTTCACTTCGTGACCTTATGAGGTGACCGAACCACCCAGCACCCGGGATCTCAAAGGGCCACTTGGAAGACTATGTTGTTTTGATTTACAGTATTTGTGTCATGTGACCTTTGGGCCTTTTGGACATTCCCCAGGTCTCTGCTCAGCAACTCAATCATCTCCTCGCAACTCAACCCATCGACCCAACTTCCGAACGAAGGGAAGGAACCCAACTTCCGAACCAAGCAGCCACGATGAGGTTCTTCACGGGAAGGCCCATCCGTCGAGCGTAGTACCTGGCGCTCGACAACGCGCGCGCTCGCGCCACGCGCCACGCGTCGAAGCCACGGACCGATGGACCCAGCTCTTCCACATGTCTGGGAAGATTGGGTGTTTTCGTAAACCTGTTCTATTTGGACCGTTGAGACGTGGCCAAAAAAAAACGGAGAGACCACTGGCAGTCCTTCTACCTACAACAATATTCGCCACTGACTTACAAATGCCCAGCCTTCACATCCCTTGACAACTTCTTCCAGCAACTCTTAAATCAATGCCGTTCTTGAGCTCCATTTTGGTGAGCTCATGAGTAACACGTCACCTACCACCACACACTCCACACCCTCTTCCGGCACATCTCCCCCACCTGCCAACGACACCCGACGGCTCGTCCGCCGCGCGACGAAGGGCGTCCGCGGCACCCCGCGAGGATGTCGCCGAAGTTCCCCGTGGGAACGGAGAAGGTGATCTCTCCGTCGCAGCTGGGGAAGAGCCTCGGTGCCGCTCGGTGGTCGGTACCAGGGTCGGCGAAGGGGGAGCGACACATATACGAGGGCGGGGTGGGAGTCGGGAGAGACTGGAGATTGGCGGGAGCGGTGAAAATGGGCAAATGTTGAAGGCGGTTTCTCATGTTTTCTCCTCATTAAACGAAACACAGAAAAGAACGAATTTGGCACTGAAGAAACCTACTTGATCTGTGATCTAGGTTGCTCCTTTGCAGGATTTGCTTCACGTCTAACTTCACCTAAACATCCAAAACCTATACACAACCTGCAGCCAATGGAGTCGGAGAGTCATCCGTGAGACCCAATGACCTACAGCATTGCACGAACTATTCAATCACCTTAGCCGATCCAATCACTTGGCGCAGGTTTGCATGGATCAGGTGTTTTTTTGGTGGTGAATTGATCGTCATATGTCTACATGGATCGCATGGGCTTGATAGTAGAGGCTTGCAACTTCCTACCAATAGTAGGCACGTGGTGGGACCTAAATGGTTAAGAAAGGTTGATGCTTTCTGGACCTACACTCTCTATCCCACCACTAGCATTCAAGAAACCAGGAGAGATTCTACCTATATTATACCTAGAAGCCTACCGAAGTAAGATGTGCCCTTAGTCTTGGTAAGTTTGGATGGTTGTATCCCTTCCAATTGATGTACCTACTGATAGTCAGGGACTGGCTGTCTGGATCCACTGAGCTCTGGCCTGGATCTGGATGAGCTAAGCCTCCTTGGCACCTGCCATCCCACCTGTGGCACTCTAGGAATGCGGCTTGAAGTAAGTGTAGAAGTAATACCTTGGCTGCGGATGGCTGCTACGGCCTATAATGGTTTGCCCTCAAACATGTATGACAGGTTCTTGCTTCAAAAACCTGGTGGCTTTAAGCTCTTCGCGGGGTCATCCTAAGGATTTTGTGTGATGTGGGTCGCTTCCAGGGGATGTGACACATCACTGCCAGCTGGAAGGGTGAGGATGGTTTGGAAGATAGTACTTTGCTCAACTCCGGTGTTGGCATTGGTCATTGGCCCCCAAACTACCAGTAGTTGAATGGTTCAACTAGCTTGGTCTACTTGTATGCATTCTGCAAGGCAAACATGGCCCATGAACACCCATCAAAGTCCTGGAAAACATGGACATGGATCCCTTCTACTCACTCAAACACGGTTGCTTTGCTCCATTTTTTTGGTTGCAAAAGGGTCTTGCACCACGTGGGACCGGTCAAAAGTTGGCCACAGCCCTGTCTCGCTCAGTGATCCATGTGGGGAGGTCAGGGACCCCTGTCTCGGTCTCTTCGGGTCCCGGAGGGCAGCTTCAGCTCGATCGGTGCAGTTGAAGGGGCGTGATCTGAAACATGATCCTCGCCCAGTTGATGGAGTTCACCTGGGCTTTCTGCACCACACGGCGCGGGTGGGCGGTTGTCAGGGCCTGGGTCCCATGCGTGTTTTCCAGGGCAGAAAGGCTGAAGGAATTGTATAATGAGTGAGTAGAGATGGGTGTGGAACTTTGGAAGGGTTTTCAACTCATGAACACAAAATATGAGGCAATGGGTTCCATCATCACAAGTAAAGAACATAACCATGTTTTCTCTTGTCCCCTGAACCAAGCCTTTGTATTTGATAGGAGTCTGGCACATGTGTGCTCAGACATGAAGCTTGATTCCTTCGGTCCCTGTCCTCTCATGCAATCATGGAGGTCTTTCCAACCAAGACTACTACTTTTCAGACATCACAGCCCCAAAACAGGCTGAAACAGCATGAAGCCTTTTCTGGGGTCCCCCAATTCCTTCCTCCTCCTTGCCGTGCTTTCCCGGGTTCACGTTGACCCCAAGGCCTGGAGATGCTCGGTTCAGCTTCAGTTTCTGGGTGCATTTTGGCTAGTTTCTTTTTGGCTTTTTGGGTGCGTGTGTCCTCAAGACAGAACGTGTGGAGAATCCCCACCCACCGTTCACAATCAAGATAAACTCTACAATCTACCTATATATCCTATATATCGATCATCATACCATAGATTCCGAAACAAGAGGCCACAGCCTTTCTTCTCTCCACTCCGCCTGTCACTCCACACCCGATGTCGATTCCGCCGGGTCATCACCGCTGTCGAGGGGCAGCTCCCAGGCCGTAGGCTTTCTTGAAGTCCAAATCCGCGAAGAGCTCCTTTGGGTCTTTTTGCGGCGGTTAGGCCGAGGAAGCCGAGGAAAACAGAAACGAAATAAAACAATGCTAAACATGATATCTTTAGAAAATCACTTATATAATTAGTTAGTTTGGGAAACATAGACCCTCTTTTTTCCGCAAAGGTGAACATGCATAAGGACGCTTTGCTGACTCTCACGGCATGCTAAAGCTCAAAGTCCTCTTACCAAAAAAGGGCCCAAGATATGCAAAGCTGACCCGCGAAACGGACAGACGGCTCCTTTTTGCCCCAGTCAGTTCCTTCTGTACATCTTCGCGCCGCGTTCGAAAGCCGAACGTTGCAAAATTTCCTGTACATGGCAAGGGCGAGGGCCCTTGCAAAATTGGGGACAAATATCAAGGTTGCACGTGAGCACATCACAAATGAGGCCAACACCAGGGTAAACCCTACCCTTGAGTTCTACATACTTCTTGAGAAAATGGGAGCGTTGACTCTGGGTGGGACCAAAACATAGTTTCAGTTGGAATATCTGGATGTCCAAGAGCGCTGTGTGCAACCCTGAGTGGCTGAAGTTGCTCAACAAGACTCCATCAAAACAACTTGTCTTCTTACAATGCTCCATTCATTAAAGGCCTGTATTCTTTTGGCATGCATTGGAGCATTGGCATGTCTGCTCGAATACATTCATATCCACTCTTCATTCTTTAGGCCGTGAGCAACTCAATCAAGGTTTCTTCTCTATACTTCACAAGCCCAGCATCGCATCGCAAGCGATTGTCTGCCTTAGGCATACTAAGACTACTGCCTTGCGTGCAGGAAGAGCAGGAAAACCTGAGCCGCAGGTGCAAGAACGCATCGTTTGGCACGACCAGATTTGATCATTTGATAGATACGCATGCATGTTCTAGAGAAAGGATGTCAACTTACTGGTGTGAAGCTCCAAACATGTGTTTTCTCAACCGTCCTCTGACATCTCTGACAGGCTGTACTATGCTGTACTGTGTCTGTTACCCAACTGACCAAAACTTGGATTTTCGGTCAAGGAAACTGGAAAAAGAAACACAGATCCTCCATACCAGGGCGATTTATTTATCCAATTCGGTCATGTAACATTAAAAAACAAAAAAACTGATCTGCCAACAAGAAAGGACATTCCCCAAGCAACCGGGGATGAAGACCTGGGATGTGGGACAAATACCAAAACACCCTCCGCAAAACCGGGAAAATCCGCTTCAAACATCCAACATCATCCCACTGAGCCTGGTTGAGATGTGGGAATGGGTGGTTCATCCCACCTGGATTGACCATCCCAACCGCCAACTTCCAAAGTTCACCGATATGTTTTGTTGAGGTGGGTCGGATGAAAGGCACAGAAAGGCACATCCATCCAAGCAAGTGTGTGTGTGTGCGTCTCATATCCAGGAAAACAAAAAACCTGGCAAAAAAGATAAGAAAATCAATTATTGATGATGACCCGAAACCACCAGGATGAGGATACTCGCCACCCGGATACACCAGGATATTCTTTTTATGCGACTTCCGTCGCGAACAACTCACCTTCCAAAGGAGTCGTCTTAATTTGGATGGTGACGGTATGCTCAAGACCATGTAGCGCAATCTAGAGTATATCCTCTTACCAGGTATATCTTGAGTATTCCTGATTACTCCTGAGACCAACTGGAGTTACTCCTGATTGGGCCATTGGGTATATCTTGTGCATATCCTCTTACCAGGGACAGCCGTGGATGAGCATGGGGCCTGGGTTGAAGGCCTTGTTTGAAAATAGTGATTTTGCTTGTTTACCGACGGCTCTACAGTTTTACTGTGACAAACCCAAGGTTAGGGCTGGTCGTGGATGATGGGGCCTGGTTGCAGGCCTTTTTTCATCTCAAAGAGAGTGATCTACTACAAAGTGTGACACTCCCTACTGTAGGTAAGGGACACACCCTACTGAATCCTACTGCAAGTAAGCCAAAGAAGTATCAACGCGCCGGCCATCGGACGGACAACAGTTTCATGGATCGTTTGGGGTCTTTTGCGGGTCATTGGCCATTTGAAGGGTCTGGTCGGAGTCATTGAAAACATTAACCATTCCCTAGATTCTCATTGTTTCCAGTGTGTTTGATGACAATGATGTGTAGCTTCTTCCCCACTTCATCGGACCATTTGCTGTCAACAAAGTGGACACTTCGCAATCGATCAGCAATGGTCATACACCGCGCAGTTTTCGAGTAACTTAAGTGGCCATCTGGGCCAAGGTCGACGTGATTCTTGGTCTTGTAAGACTTAGGAAACCTTCAAGTATAGCTCATCTAATGTAGACTCTTGATTGACTAAACAACAACAAAAAAAGGGCCTGAAGAAGTTTTACAAGATGTTGTAGTATAAATCAATAGTCTACATTACGGGGAGCTGCTTGACTGCTTGCTTGAAAGCCCAATGAACCGTGGTCTAGTCCAAACTGTGGACCCCAAAGGGATGCTTCTGCATGCTTCTGCTATGTTCTGATGCATAGTCGATGGGTTGCATAGTCATAGTCGTGAACAACAAGATTAAGAACCTATCCACACTCAGTTCAGGATATGGGTATGGAATAGAATAAGCGAGACTTCCTAGAGCCCCGGTGGAAGAAGCAATAGATCGGTCTACTCTGTCGGAGGGGCAATCGGGTGTCTCCCTACTAACATGCATACCGTATACCGCCGTATACCCATACTCTCCATGACTTGCTATTGCGTCCTTCCTCGCCCAGCTACGGACATGCAGCTGACGTTGATCGCCTTGATAACAAACCTCAAGATGTTCAGGCATACACCGGTCGAAACGGCACAATGAGGACCTTCTCTCAGGCAATGCAGCTTCTCTTTAGGGGCTACGTTAGCCGAAAGAGTTGGACTTATTGAGTGGCTCGGACGCAGCTTGTTGGGGTAGACCCTTTCCTCCAAACCGCTGAATGGTCTCGCGTGAGAACTCAGGGCGATCTCCTTCCGTCGGGGGCCGTGTGGTGTTCGGACATGGAGCGTAGACGGTCCACACAGTCCAAACATGGGAGTTCCGTAAGGTGTCAAGTGACTTGGGAAGGCCAGTGACTATGGGCCTATGGGGATAAGGCACTTTTGGAAGGACTTGGGATGTATGAATTTCTATGTGTCTTTTCTTAATCCCATGTCATCCGAAGGTAGTATAATGCTTCGAAGGCAATGGATGACTTGAACAAGTTCACAAAAGGCCATATTGAGCTATACCAAGCAAGCTAATTATATACCAAGCTCCTATACCGTGCCTCTACTGGACATTCGTCAGGGAGTCAAAAGGGGAGCCACTCTTTCCGTCGTGCTGGCGAGGATGCTAGGGTCTGCTAGCGTTCTTAAATGTTCTTAATAGCTCCCTAACGTGATCCAGTCGTACCGAACCTCAGGTACGGTGATGCGTTCGACACTGAGTGATTAGTAGGTGCCAAAACGTCGGGTCCAGTCGTACCGAACCTGAGGTTCGTTACGACTGGATCCCATAGGTCGACAGACTCTCCTTCGCTTGGCTTCTGATCCTTCCTGCCAGGTCGAAACGGCCCAACGCCCCGTCCGACCGAGCGTCTGTGCTCGCCTTTGGCGTCCAAACATGTTGACGTATGCCATGGACAGTGGAAGCTTTCCAGGATGAGTTGGACGGGATCGAGCCATCCACGTAGCTGGAACATCTCCTTCCAACGAGGTTTATGATCCGCAACAAACACCAGCAGCTCAGCAGATTCGCCCAAGACATCTTAAGACATCTACGGATAGCATAAGATGAGGGCCAAGTTGAACAAGTGGAGATGTCAGTTGATTTGGTGAAGAAAACAGCCTGGATCTAAACTCAGCTCGATACGGCCAACCCCGGTTAAGTAACTTGTTGTACCCTCAAGTCTTTCAGGGAAAAACATCAGTCGAGACTCTGCATTCCGCACATATCCGGGTCGCAGCGATGTCTTTTGAGAAATCCAAGTTCTTCTTGGCCAGCACTGATCTTGGCATTTCATGTAGTTTAATAACTTTGCCCCAGCTTCTTACCACCACGGCCTACCACGCTTCTGCTCGGGGCCCAAACGCTCGCGCAGAACGCTCGCTCGGAGCGCGCGGTCCTTGATGCCCAAAGCGCCGATCGGTGGTGACTTGGGCTGCCGCGGCTCGTGCCGTCTACCACGCCCGTCGAGTTGAAGCGGCACTGCATCTGCTGAAAGCAGCGTCGACACGTCGATGTCTTCAGTCCCAAAGCGGTACGCGTGGTCAATAGCGTCGGTGGCCACGGCACGGAAGCGGTCCTGAGGTTTGCCAGGAGCCAACAACAAGTTTTGAGGACAACACGAGACCTAAGTCGAAAGTGTAGGGATGGGGTGCCTGGGGGTTTGTTGCAGGATGGGGTCAAAAATCAGAACCCGAAACGTCTGAGAACTGGCCTTGAAACGTCTGAGAAATTTCAGTTGTGCAAGATGCCTACATCTATAGTCATGATTGCACATACCCTGACAACAAAATGCAAACAAAATGCCAACAATTGCAATCAATTGAGTGGATAATGGGCACCCTTAACCTCCATGGATAGCACCCCTTTGTGACTGCTGGCTGGCATCATTTCTTGGATCAGCATCATGCACTTTCACAACATTTGTCGTCTGCTTCTCGACGAATTCGATCGCCAACAGCACGTAAGGAAGCCTGGCACTTGACGTCGTCCATGCACTCGGGACTAAAAAGGGTGTTAAACATATAGCGGGTGTGATTACTGTAGGTTTATAATGTAGGATGTGGTTTCTTCCTTTGCGCGGATGGATTGATGTTGTTCCTGACATTCTTCTGTGCTTATGCTTAGAAGGATTAGTTAGAGATGTACTATATTTGAACCAAAAACACATTGCAGTTGCTCATTGTGCCGACAAAAGCTCAAGTGCAACGTATGGATCAAACCTTGACAGGACAAACTGTAGTTCTCAACGTAGGTAAGTTCAACAAGGTTCAAACAACACAAAACTACGACTATATGGCACTGGCACTGGAAGATTGACCTTCTTCGCTCACTCCAAAAATAGAAAAACATTCCATGAAGTATCAACATCTTCATTGGGTTCATCAATGGATGGATGCAACATTATATAAAGCACTCAAATATCACGTACTATGGATTCTCGGTGGTGCTGGGCTGGGACATACCCAACTCATGTCAATCTGTAAAAGGACGCCAGTTGTCAAGTCCTATTTTTGTGGGACTGTCGGAACTCATCTTGCTACAGCTGTATGGCCCGCCACTCTGGTTGAGCTGCACTTCAACAAGGTTGAGAATGAAAGGAGGCCCGTTGACATCTACTCAGCCGCAATGCAGAACCTGTGAGTTGAGTTTTTTGTGGGTCTGGTCCAAAATCATGCTTCTAGCTCCCAAACACGTCCCTTGGGACCTAAGCCTTACCTTTCCCTTTAGGTTTTGAGAGCTTGGTCCATCTATTGGAAGGTCTAATTTCCTCTCCATTCGTTTGGTCTATGGCCATGAAGCTCTCCAAAATGTTAACGATACACGCCCAACCTCTACAGTTCAGCTCATTTGAAGACTCTGTAGAACTTCTGGATCATTTGTGGGACAAGTCTAACTGTCCATTCATCTGCAGATCCTCCTCCCAGGCAACTTCCAAGTCACATGCGCTCCACCGATCTTTCTTCAGTGCAGCGTGCTCCCTCAGCGGTGGCTAGCACCCTTGAAGTGTCATTCTCGCTCAAGGTTTCTTGCTCTAGCTCGAACAAATCCCAGTCGAAGATGAGATCCTGAGGGTGGCAGCTTCAGTGACGACGGTCAAAGTGTTATATGTTTATCTTGTGATGGCTGTATGGATTTGTGCTAGTTGCAGCGATCAAAGTCTGACTTGCTCTTTGCATCAGCAGCTCCTACTTTTGCTTTGCTTAATTGCTTTCGGCATGTCTTCGATCACGTGCAACACCCAACATTGCTCGCCAAAAGGTTGTAGGGCAAGGTAAGGTTATCTCTCCTCCTCATCATCTTCTTCGAAGTCTGCCGCCACTAGGAAGTACTTCACCCTCAGTACACGCGCTGTGCGCCAAAAGCGTCTGACCCTAGATTCCCACAACTTTGCACAATGACTGGACGGAGAGGCACTTGTGCGACAACTCGACTGACAATTACCCGGCCCAATGAATCTGAAGAAAGCACTGCAGACCTTTCTAACTATAGAGTGAACAATTTAACCCTCTTGACTCAAGCGACTTTAAACCAACTCGCTGCTTCATTCAGCTATGCTCCCAAATTCTCACCCTTAATGACTCAACTGAGTCACACCCAAAACTCCCTCTCAAAAAACCAGTGCGCACCCCATCCAAACCCCATGGATTCTCTCATTTGATGTCACCCAAGCCCGACCTTCTCCACTCCACCACTTCACCACTTCACCCGTCACCCGGTCACCGGGCGCCGTTCGTCCGCACCGTCCGCACGACCCGAGCCGCTCGTCGGCGTAGTCCTTCTTCGGTCGGCCGAAGTTCCGGAAACCGAAGTTCCGGGGGAAGAGGCGGCCTGCGACACGACACCCCTCCGGTACACAGTGGCAGGCACCTTCCACCATAGCAGCCAGAGAGTCGGAACTGAACATCTTTGCTAGGTTTCAGTCACTTGCCACATGGGTTTAGAATGCTTTAGTCACCAAATCTCTGGGTTCTACCCGGCTGCCGGTCGACCAACCGGTCGACGGTGGTCGAAAACACCGTGGAGTCGCCCGCACCGTTTCACTCGGGCAGGTCGTGGGGTGGATCTTTGACCCGGTGAACCAAGCGAAGCGAGCGTGGTTCGAACCGGGTCGAAACATCACAAACCGAGGTTGTGAGGTTGGTTCTTATAAGGTACGAGGTCCTGTAGTTTTTTCGAGAACGGTAGACTGGTCTATGTTCTGAAACCTTCCAGAAAAATCTCTGGAGGGTCACAGGGGGTCTGCCTGAAGACACATCCACTTATTGTACATTGGATTATATTGGGTGGAAGTTCTTTCTTGGGGAGGTTCCAACAAAGCTTCCATCCCCACCAGGCTGCCTCAAACACCCCAAACCACGCAAGACGAAGTCACCTTCCACATTTCCATACTTTGCCTCATTCACCACACCACAAAGTCACACAGCCTGGTAGAATCTTGCACTAACCCCTGCCCGGCAGAGAAGGCAATATGTATTATATAAACAGTATAAACAGCACTAGACTCTATGCCTGCTCAGCTTGGAGAGAGAGAGAGCCTGCTCAGTTTGGAGAGGAACTTGGCAAAAACACCCACAAATCCCTATGAGATCAGATGAGTTCACCTGGCTTCAGCAGCCTTGACAGATGGGCAAACGGTGGTGCAAGGCGGAAACGTCACCCCAGTATCGATTGCTTCGACTGCCACTGGCAGTCTCTACAAAAAAGAGGCTCCAAAAGCCAATACGATGTTTGCAAGCAACAATTGCAACAGCCAGTGACAACTAATCTCACTATGGACGAGAATTTGAGCACACTGGCTGTGCAACTGTCATCAGAATTTCTGGGCTGGGCTGAACATGACCTGCCTTGCTGTTCCGGGGGGCCCCCGTCTTCCGTGGAACCTGCTCCTGCTCCTGAACGCACGGGTTCCGTCGTCGTGACGGTCCCCGTGGTCTTCGCCTGGCTCCTCTGGGACTTGGATCACCAGGCCTCATGGAAACGGGGCTGGCAGCGTGACAGCAAGGACCCCCTGATCCCAGCAAAAAACTTCTCCCAACAGAGTGAAGCACAGTGAAAGAGGTGTTCCTCCCAACAGAGTGAAGCACAGTGAAAGAGGTGTTCGTTCATTTCATCCAAACCATATCTTTTTCATCTCAGCTATACTCCCAGACCAGCCGCTTCGTGCCCTTTCTCCACGCGCGCGAACAAAGCCGTTCCTTCAGCGCGTCGCCCAGGCGGGCGCCGACAGTTCTACGAGAGATGGGCCACCGGAGATTCACTGAATGCCTTCTGCCACGGAGTGGTTCTATAGAAACATCCACAGCCAAAGCGGATGTAACATACTATCCGTTCTGCGTGCGGATGTTCTGATGATCTTCTGTAACTTTTTCCTTTCAGCTAAGGTTAAGCAAAACAGCGTGCAACGCTTCCTGCACTGGAAGACACAAACACACAAGAACTGATTCCAAGAAGGACCTGTTCCATCGGTATCTGATCTCGAATCGTCCGCCATTGCCGGAGTCATCCATTCTGGCCAAACGGCCAAACGAACCGGTTTCAGAGGTGAGAAATGGCACGGAACCCACCTATAGACAGCCCATAGACCAATGGGTAGATGATGCTAGATGGGGGTCCAGTACTAAACCACCAACAACTGAGGGTACCTTGTGCCATCTACTCGCAATTCACTCTGATTCTGGTGGGCCCAACTTGCTAAAGTGTTCAATGACTCACGACTCCTCAGGCAACTTGACTTACAGTATCTATATGCTTGCTCCACGGGGGTTGCGTTGTAGAAGATGCATCCTCATGTTCATAGCTGCAGTTGTTCCCTTTGCAGAGGCTAATTCTACTGAACGAAGGACCTTGCAGGTCACGTCATGCAGTGCCGCGATGCGCTTCTCACTTGGCCTCCTGGAATTTGGTGTGAACTGGGCATGCGAACCGTGATCCATGTCAAGCTGCTGAGCAAGGTCTATATGCCCTCCAATCTGACCATGGGTGGCTGTGGTGCAAACGACCAACATCGAGGGTGTCCGGACAAAAGAAGCAACGACCCAGAATGGCCCAAATCCCAAATCAATGTCTACGCAACCCCAAGGCCTCCAACCACTTCCTCACAAGGTTGTGAAAGCCTCCAAACCCATCCCGAAATTATTAGAGCTCCAAAAAGGAAAAAAGAACCAGCTGTGTCTATTTTCGATAGGATTTGGAGACTCATCAAACAGCTAGACAGCTGACAGTCCCCAAAGGCAGTGTTTCATTGGAGACCTGGCTTCAGCCCTGCAGCTTCCTTCTGCACCCTTCCTTCAGCCCTACAGCCAAGGAAGAAGAAGCGCACATCACCACTAGCGGACCAAAACCCTAGACTAGAGCCCTACAAGTCTTGCTTTTGCTACACCGACCTCATAGGCCTTTGTTGCGCGGCCGTACGTTGAAGTACCCTTGTTTGAGTCGCTCTTGGACACACTCCTCGCTGCCGGGCAGCCCCGATGAAGCGCCTTTTCTCAAACACCTCTGCGATGGAGCCGTGGGTCAAAATCGACCAAAAGACCTTGATATAGTGAATAGTGAATTCATGTGAATTCTATATCGAGAATCCACCAAAAGAACTTCTGGAATTAAGAGATTACAGGGGTAGCTCAGCGCAGCCGACTGTAGAAGCCTAAATCTGTGGACATGGCCCCCAGGAAAGAACATGTGGTAAAGAATCAAGAGCACATGGAAAATGAGCGTAGTATAGAATCGAGTTCACAAGATCAAACAAACATATCTTACAATGTATCAAACAAACATTATGGCAATATACAGTATGCTTTCTATAAAGCAAGAGGCCTGAGGATACTAGCCACAACAACAAAATATTGACATCTATGGGATCCCTGATTCTTGACCAGCTAGAAGGGGACAGAATCAACTGCGCAACCTCTTCAAGCCTAAAACCTCCATCGAATCAGAGGACCTGAGTTTTGCTTTGACAAACATCACAAAGTACCAGGGGCCCAAACCATGAAAAACAAAGGTTTTCACATTACAAAAGCAATGTTTTTTGCTAGGGAAAATCTGGTTTTTGATGGTTTGTGGGGCCCCTGGTATTATATATCGGTTTCTCTCAAAAATCAGCAGCACCAACATTCTCAACATGTTCTTGTGTTTTTACACCCTCTCTCTTCTAAAATAGGTACGCCAAGCTAGTCATGTTAGATGATTCTAGTCTAAAATTGTTAAACAAAAACGATTGGATGCTTAAGGTCCTGATTTTAGAGTGGTTATTCCCAGGGGGATATTAATTACATATAATTCGCAACATTGTATCGAATTCGTGAATTGACTTGACGTCTACTATAGTGCCTCTCATGATGAGACCCAAGCATAGTCTCCAAAAGAACGAAGGAAGAGTTCCAGCACCCCAGGTTCTTCAAAAGACATATCACTCCTTTACGACCCATCCCCTTTGTAATGTGAAATGTCCATACACTCAACAGCCGCAGAAAATACCCGAGCAATCTGCATGTCACACCAACCAAGCAACCAACCAACCAACGAACAAACGAACGAACCAACCAACCCACCAACCGCCGGCCGAGCCTAGCCCTCTCAGCCTTCTAGCCGCTCCACCCGGCGCGGAGCAAAATGGACCAGTGAGCAGCGAGGTTTCAGGACGGAAACGGCCGGCCTTCGATGAGGTCCATCGAACGCACCAGGGAACGCACCAGCTGTCCCTTTGGGTGCTTTTTGGCTGTTGGTTCGGTGGTAGTCACCCCTGAAATATCATTGTGGCGATTGTGCTAGCTACCTGGTAGTTCAGTATCAAATATCGGCAGTCCCGCCAGGTTTGCCCCTTATGGCTTGCATCATCATCCCACACACACAGTTCTGGCATTTCGCATTGCTTCTCCAAAAGCTCAAAAAATGCGCCTCCTGTCCTCATTGCCAGCGCTGAGTAGGCGAGAAGCACATGAACAAGCATTCGCAAATGACATGTCATTGATTCCCACAGAGAGAGTCGAACCTCCTTGGGTTCTGGGGCCTGAACTAACTGCTAGCGGTCACGCTTGAGCCCTATGAGCCCCCGCGTTCGATCTCGTGGACCGTTTTCCGAAACGAAGACGTCTTTGTCACCGGGGCCATGGGAGGTCTCCCCAAACGCCACCAAACACTAAAGGATGTCTCATCCCTGAGTGAGGCCTAGCATCCCTGAGGGTCCCTGAGGGCCAAGTGTGGTCCCTGAGGGCCATGTGTGTGGCCAGACACTCGAAGATGCAAGGCCTCCCAACTTTTAGCCAAGCAAAAGCTACCCTTTTGACTCCATTGGGTCCGACCAGGTCTCACGGCTGGCAGCTGACGGTCAAAGAAGTCGCTCGGCACCAAGAGAAATTTGCCCAAAGGTCATGCTGTGTTCTATACCAACAGAAACAAACATAGAGAAACATGGAGGAACATCAGTTCAGTGCTGGTGCAACAAGATTCCCAAAAGAGTATTTGTACTCAGCAATTTTGGTAGGCAGCTTTCGAGTGAAACCCTGTCTGGGTCATGGACTGAAAGGCCAGCCACCAGCACGAAGGTTCCAGATCAAAGCATCCTGGACAACGAAAGCTGCGGCTAGGGGGCTGGGGAGTAAAGCATAACTCATCAAGGCTTAAACCTGTACCGACTGCTACAGTGAGCAGTGAGTAGGATCTACTCTGCCTTGGTCGCTCACTATATTATACCCACCAGGTGGTTGGTCCCCTGCTGTCAATGAATCATGATCCTTTCTCAAGCTCTTTGGGCGCGGTTCCGTAGATCTTAAGACATGCCATGCTAACTTCCTAAGAAAAGGTTGCCTATCAAGTTTCATGGACATTGTTCTCCCCAAAGGCACATGTCTGCACCCCTGAACAACGTAAGAACATGAGCTGTTCCAACGATATGAGCAGTACCATAGCCACCATATATAGCCCGGATTATAGCCCTGACAGCTTCGGCGAAATCAACTGATTCCGTCCCCTTTCTCTGCGGTTGCACAAGGTTTTACTGCGATTCAAACAGAGCGCCATTGGGGCCCAAGCCCGGCCCAGCCACGCTTCTGAGGCTCTTGTGGGATGGAAATGCAACCCAAGTTCTGCAAACGCTGTGCTTGGTAATACCAATCTTTGGTGTCCGAAGAAGTCTTCCTTCAACCCTAAAAGTCTAGCAGGACCTTCCAACCTCCAAAATGTCAGCCCGAGCCCACACTTCCATGGCCTAATGGCCCTGATCAGCCCAGCGTCAGTCCACAACAAAGCCTCCGTCTCCTCCAAGCACGCCTAGCAAGTCTTGGAGGACGACGAGACTTGACACCAGTCACGAGTCCAGGACCTCCCGCACCATGCGGAGGCCAGGCCAAGCCCTGCAAAAGACGGAAGAAAACCTGAAAAAAAGAAACTGCGTGGACATACACTGCACATCCCACAGTTGTTGACTCCATATGTGTAGCCTCTCTAAGAGGTGGCTCCAATATATCCGGACCATCTCGCGCCGACTCGAGCAAACCAACTCCCTAGTCCCCGGCGAATGCTGAGAATTCATTCAACAAACCTAGAGCAAGTCACCCGTCCCTTGAAAAACGACATACGAAAGCATGCCAAATGAGCCTAGGGCCATAACCTGCTAGAAAATGTCCTTGCAATTTATAATGTAATCAGACATAACATGGCAAAAAAAACGTATACAGTAACTGATGCTGTACTCATCTGTAATCATAGGCTGCATGGTTGTAATCCTTCCCAAACCATCCATTTGGGAGCTTTGGCCGCATGGTGGCACTGGTTCGAGCTCCAGCCCCTGGAACCACCCAGCGCCTGGTAGGCACCCACAGGTGGCAACCAGCAGAAGATGGTAAAGTCCTGCTTCTTCGAGACTTTGGAGGCACATCTCGCCAACTGTTTCCACTTGGTTTCAACATGCAAAATCTACGCATGATGCGACTTCATGACAATAAAATAGACTTTGTTAATTCATCCATCCGTGGTTCTACCCTCCTTTTTGGAGCCACCTTGAAACTTTCTGACGAGCCACGACAATCATTTCATTGCATTTCATCGCACATGTTCGTATAATTTTGGGCATCGCAACGATGCATCATGTTGTTTCTCTTTGATCTCACAAGAAATTCTTTCGGGGCCTTGTCATGATCTACTCTCACTAGACTCCCTTCCCTTCCCCCAAAAGATAAGGTTATCCAATCACAGACCTGCACAGACTGAGTCCCTGACATGAGGCAATGTGCCAGTCTCCTTCCTGAGTCAAAGCAGTCGCTACTTGGATGACGCAGTCTTAGACACGGTCACTTTGCTGATCCTGGTCGTCGTGGTCAACGCCATCAACTACGTTTTTATAGCACAGTACCTGGTCTGCACAACTCGGACTTCTATCCTTTGACCACAAAGATACTTAAAGGAACTAGAATGCCTGGTACCACATTCCAAATGCACCACAAAAGCTCCCAAAAAAGCTCCCACAACAAGCTTGATCATAGACTTGATGTCGCAAGCGTTCCAAATACCAACACCCAGTCTATGATTGTTATCATTACTCCTTCTCATCATGACACTCGAACCTCCCACACACTGCCACACCGTGTCCTGTATCCGATGGCACCGCTTGTCCCGCGTGCATCAAACGCAGGAAGCGCCATGAAGCAGCGCCTCCCTGCAGCAGCGCCTCCCTCCCTTTCCGCTCCGGAGCCGAGGTTCATCCAAACCTGAGACTTCACCACTTTGGTCAAGACCGTGTCATAGAGGATCTCGGCCACCTGACCGTGTGGTTGACCATACCGCTCCTGGTTTGTTGTTCTCCAGCGGAGGCAGGGGGGGTCATCAACGGAACTTCGGAAACAACACAACACCAACAAAAACCAGGTGCCAGGACCTTCAAAGTGACCTTTTGATATCCTAGAATGAGGTCACGAATCGTCCCTAAAGAGGTCACTTAGAGACTCCAAAGAGGTCACGTACTGAAGGTCCTGGTGGAGTGGTTTTAATAGGAAAACATATGAACACATCGCCCCTGGCTTGGTAGGCTGGTCTATTTTTTGTTCCTGGTGATCGAACGACCGGGAGGTCTCCCTATGAGGTCACTCTCGAACTATGCGCATGGCTGAAGAAATGGCCAGAAGGTCTCAGTCTCTAGGGCTCCAGTCGTACCTCCTCAGAAGGGAGGAGGAACCCTCTAACCCTCCAACATCTTCGTATAGAGGGTACGACTGGAGCCCAAACGGGAGTCTCAGCGTTCAACAACCTTTCACCCGATCTCATGTAGAGTATCGAACTTCATTCCTGCTCATCCGAACTGTGTCATGAGGTCTTTCCGATATGATCTGACGCTTCCCAGCCTAAACATAAAGTATGACCCCATGCAAGCAGGAACTTCCTATGCAAGCAGTCTACCCCCATTTCCCTGAAACAGGTACATCTCGCTGTTCTTCTGAAGTGGGTGGTTTCCAATCATTTGGGTAGGTACTGACCCTGGTTCCGTGCTTCTCCGAACCTCATCTTCATCCATCTCCGGCAGCAAAGGCACTCGCACCACCTGGCGTCCGGGATTTCGCCACAGACCGTGGTCGGTGGTCTGGTGGTCGAAGGGTGCTCGAAGACCATGACCAATGGTGGGCCAGCAATCCGTGGGCCGCACCAATGGGTGGACCCACTCGTTTTCCCTAGCCCACCATTGAGGGTTCGAATCCGACTACAAACCGAGCTGTCGACTGCTATAAGGACTTAAAGTGACTGAGTCGACTACAAACCAGCCCAACCATCGTTTGAATGTGTTCAATGGAAGGGAAGGCTACGGATGAAGTTCTACAAACCCCTCTACACTAGGACCCACTGTCGGGGTGGTTCATGGACACCCCGAATCACCTGCAAGGGGGCTATCAATAGACTTATGTTGGCCAGTTAGCCAACTTCTATGGGAGTATGGGAAACAAAAAAAATGCAAAAAAAGTGCAGAAAAAGTGCGTGCATGAAAAGCAAACACAAAATAGCAACGTTCAAGAAAAGCAAAAAAAGAGCAACAAAAAGAGCAAAAAAAAGCAAACAAAAAAGCAAAAAAGAGCCTTTTTTTGGAGGCAAATTGGGCACGCTTCTTTTTTGCACTTTTTTTTGCACATTTTTTGCACTTTTTTTGCACTTGTTTTTGCACTTGTTTTGCTCTTTTTTTGCACTTTTTTTGCACTTTGTTTGCACTTTTTTCGCACTTTTTTTTGCTTTTTTTCGAGGAAAGTGCAAAGTTTTGGCATTTCCAGAGCCACAAAAAAAGTGGTGAAAAAGTGGGAGAACAAATTCCAGAGCCACAAAAAAAGTGGGGGAAAAGTGGGTGAAAAATTGCTTTTTTGTTTGTTTTTTTTGTTTGCTTTTTTTCCCCTTTTTTGTTTGCTTTTTTTCCCTTTTTTGTTTGCTTTTTTTTTGCACTTTTGTTTGCTTTTTTTCTGCTTTGTTTCTGCACTTCTTATCCAGACAGTTTTTCTTTCTGCTTTTTGGTTTTGCTCTTTTTTTGCTTTTTTTCTGCACTTTTTCTTTTTCAATGATTCTTAGAACTTGGCTGTAAGTGCCTTAGGGTGTCCTCGCATGTCCTCGTGCAATTGATGATTTACATGCGGCTGTGGGTCACATAGCAAGTCTGTAGCCCCCAAAGCCGCAAAGGTCAACAAATCTGGCAGGTATTTGCATTGCACCTGGTGACCTGGCGGGGCTCCAACTGCTGTACAAAGGGCGTTTTGCTAAATCCTTGAAACCTTTTGGTTCTCCTTACCTTTGGTGGTTCTCTTTCACACAGGTGCAAAATCACCAAGCATCTTCAATCAACCTGACCCCCCCAGAAAGTGCACGCCAACCACACAACCAACATCAACCAACAGCAAGCAAAACAACACGTACACCTCTCCGTGTTTCTCTTTGTTGCGCCCTATCCCACGACGTCGAGTCGCCCCGCCTGCACTAGTCTCAAGAGCCCTTCAGCATCTCGAAAGCCGCCATCGGGGGTTCCCTGCACCAAGTGGCCACAGCTGCTGAAGACCAAGTCCTCCGGGCACGTGGCGCGCGAGCCGCCATCGTGGTGCGCGTGGCGCGTGGCGCGTGGACGTGCCGTGAGGTGCTGCGCCATGGATGGAAGTCGGAGAGTGGTCGATAGTGGAATCAAAGGCGAAACACCATCCAAAGCCCGGTGGTCATGAGCATCCTAGGATATCCTACATCCTTTCCAGGACTTCTGTGTTTTGACCTGCGAACCAGTGGCATCTCGGGCTCTTCCGGATCCACAGGGTTAACGCACGAAGAGTTGCACTCTGGGCTGGGTGCGAACTCCAAAAAGTGCATCTCCCGATGAATCGATGAATCCCTTTGGAGTTGCCAGTCCCAACGGTGTGAAGGGGCTGAATCGATCATCCTCGGACACCTTCAGACTCAGAGCAACCCTGTTGGGTTCAAACACTCAGACCAACCCTGTCATCAAGTAAGGTTCAATCGCCACAAGGAAACCTCAAACTTCGCAGGTCTCCACAGGAAGCCTCAAAAACGCCCTCACACCGCGACCGCGCAAGTCCGCGGGTCTGCGCGCTGTCGGTCCGTCTCTAGCAATTCAGCTGCCACCTCGAAGCCCAACTTGCCTCAGAGCTTGAGGCAAACGTCCTGACCAGGGCATAACAGAGGGGTCAGCGCCAGGTACCTTAAATATACCGGACTTGGCCCAGGAAGTTTGTTCCCCCTCTACCACTCAACCAACCAAGGCAGCAAAAGGTGGTGACGGCTTGGGGAGGCGTCCCCCAAGCCCAAGCGACGGTGCGTCCACTGTACTGGACATGTCGCACAGCCAGGACAGCGGCGCAAGGGGTGGACATGAGCAACAAAGCAGAACCAGAAAAATAGAAGAAATAGAAAGCAAATGATGCCAGGCATGCATACCGGCAGTGTGCACATCACTGCCGCCTTGAAAACAGCGGAAGGTACGGCCCCAAAGTTTACAACCCCAAAAAAATTGCGAGGACCTAGCAAACTGGGCATGGTTGGATTTAGTCGTTGCCAATCAACATACATCGAAACAGAAAGACAGATAAATAGAAAGAACGAAGGACAGAAGGAATCCTGGTCTGTTTCAATCCATGGATCCCAGCTTTGGCTGCACGCTTTTTGCTGCCAGGAGACAGACCTCCATCGCTAGCTCCTCGGCATAGACCTAAAGATTCAAAAAGAGATTGACTTCAAGCACAAACGCTTGTGGCTTGTGGTCGTCGTGAACAGGTTGAAACACTGGAATAAGCATATATGATGTATGATTTGATGTTGCTCCACTTTGGGGGTGAAGAAGCTTGAATGTTGAAGCCTTGTTCCAGATTTCTTTTGCTTAACATCTGTTCAAATCGGTTGATCCCCCAGCTTACAAGTCAGGCTTTTCTTTGCCTCAAGGTTGTATCTGGGCTGGAGCTGTTGCCATTTTTGGGAAGCTTGATCAAAACATATCAAAACCGCAAATAGAGGTACCCTAGCGCTCCAAGTACCTCCTTAGAAGGTATTTGGACCCTCTAAAGCCACCCCAAACACCTTCTAAGAAGGTCCTTGGAGCCCTAGGGGTACAGTATCTGCCTCCAAAGCCAATCACACGTTTAATGCAGCAGCTCCAGTTGCCGACAGCTATCTCTTTTTTACAATTTAAGACCGCCAAAAAAGAATTCATCAAATTAAGTGGATGACAACCAGTAAAACGGTCTGGGCAACGGCAACAAAAGACAGAGGGGGAAAAGGCGTATCGCTGACAAAGAATTGGACAGGTAGGAGCCAGTACAATACACTCCCCACTTTATCCAGCGGCCAGTATTGTGTATGATGTGCAAATGAGCACTTCTTCGATCAGGTGCATTGGTCTGGGGTTAGGCAAAGCTTTAGCCCAAACAGTCCTCAAACCCTCCATAGCATATGCCATAGCAGGGCACAGACTCCATAGCAAGGGTCTGGACCCTGCCTTTATCAATCCTTTCCATTGGGTCCGCATTCTTAGGGGGGTATGGATCACAGTCTCATCCTTCCCGCAAAACGATTTTCTCATGTTTGGTCGGTCTACCAGGACCCTCCTGGCCAGGCTGTTTGGAGACCCGACCACAGGTGGTGAACCTGGGCACCGGACTTGTCACCGAAGCACCTGTGAAGTCAGGTGCTGGTATTTGTCTCTATATCATCAGCACAGTCGACCTGCACGGCGTTTCGACCTGCACGGCGAGACGTTTCGACCAAACCCGCAGTGGGGAAAATGCATGGTTCAAATTGAAGGAACACCGTATATACCTACAAACCCCAAATAAGAAATGCCATCACCTGGCATCTCTTCTTGGAGTATGCAACCTACAGGTGTTCATGATTTGTGGTGCAGCCAACACCTGTCCAGCCACGGCATCGATGCCTCCGTTCGACGAAAAGGATCCATCTCCCTCGTCGGAACGTCACCGAACGTCACCGACGTCGACTGACGTCGTCCGTCCGGTCCACTCAGGGGGCCGACGTTGTAGGGGTCTTCGTTCAAGGTCTTAGGCTTCAAAGTGACAGCGCCTGCGGACCCGCGGCTGCCGCGGATCTTCGGTTTGGGACCCGCTACAGCTATCGGCGCCAGCACTCCGAGGTCTCCGGTCGGTCTCCGGAGGAAGGAACGAGTCAGGAACGAGAAAGGCGTGCCTCAGGGATGTCTAAATGATGTTCATGGTTTGCGGGGGAAAGACCTTCTCAGTTGCCAGATTCGTGGACGATCGGAGGTTCCTCCCCTCAACATCCTCAACCATAACTGGCATCTTTACCGAGTGGTTTGTTTCAGGGGTCAGGATCAAGAGGTGACTTGGAAGAACCAGGTTAAAGAACTAATGTCATATGAATATGGAAGGTTCCTTAGTAGTGGGCTGGGGCGAAACTTACCGCCAGGTGACCCCGACATGAAGGTGCTGGTATGAATCAGGAAGAACCTGGTTCCATGTCAAAAACCCATTCACTCCCCGGATCCATCCGAAGTGTGAAGCACTCGCTCCCTGTGTTTGGACCCTTTCATGACCCTCGATGTCCCATCTCTTTTGAATTTCCCGGACCGATCGGCGGTCATGACACTGGGATGTTGCAAAATAACCACCAAGAGCAGGTGGCAGAGTCATGGATCGGTATATCATCTACTCTATACTTCCTGCCAAATAGCTGGCAGGCTGCCAGGAGGCTCCCCTAATCCACAGGAGCCGCTTCCTGCGGAGAGAAAACGACCCGAAGGCAGCCTTCCCTCCTCACCGGTCCTCACCGGAACGCTCCTCAACCGGCCAACGTGGCTGAGCTTCTCGCCTGGCCATGCTGGTTCGTCTTCGTCTTCCTCCATGAGTCCCCCCGTTCTTGCGCCGATCTGAGCCAAGAGCGCCTGACGATCGAAGGTCGGTCGACGATCAGGTCGATGCGACAGGCTGTGACAGGCTGTGACAGGCTGTGAGTCGTGACAGCTCATGGTGATGCTACCCACAATATGACCTCGAAGTTGAGCAGTACCGACCAAAGTGGCATGTATCGAAGTTCTTTCTACTGAGTGAATACTGGTTTTAAAGGGCTCTGTACAGGAGCCATGTTGAACATCTGAATAAAATTCCTTGCTCCTCCAAGGAACACGTGGATGTAGTCTGGGGATTTAGGGTTCTGCAGAGAGGTGGGGAAGAGACACCTCCTATGTGTCAAAAAGAAAACATGTGAAAACCTCATACACTCAGCAATCCTCTCCAGTTCCTGTTGTGGACTTGACACCCTCCTACCCTAGTCTGTTCTTTCTGTGAACTTTATGCACGGTCATAGTACTTCATGGTACCTGCAAAGAAACCCGCACGGATGTATCCATGCGATCCATGTTTCCTGAACATAACTACCATAAGGAAGTGGTTCCCTCACCTTCGATACACACATATCGGCTTGGAGAAAATTCAGAGAAAAGAACCGGAGTCCCATGGCAGCCATGGCTGTCAGCCAAGGCAAAAGCAGGTGAAAAGCGTCCCGTTCTCACATCAAACGAGGCTTAACCACATCAAAGAAAATCCCACAAATCTCAACAAGCAAAAACCATCTCCTTCACGATGTCCTGGCAATCGTCGAAGGTGCCCTTAATGGCCACACAGTGCACGTTATCATCCTGGCTCGCAGAACGCCGAACAGGCGGACCGCACGTAAAGCGAAGGGCTTTCAGGTCAAAGTGAGGTGTCTCCCTGTTCCAATCAACACCCACTTGTTTTGTGAGGATGGTTGATTCTTGATATGAACATGACGAGTGGCTCATTGACTCATCTGCCACCACTCACAAAACCCAGCCCGCCAGAACGCTGGTCATCTGCTGTTGCTGGATATGAGACACCTTGGAGCACAGGAGGATGCGGATTGGCATAACACTGAGGAGCAGGGACTCAACTGACCATCTGTTGGCCTGGTTTTGTAATCTAAATATTCCTTCGTTAAAAACATGGTTGTTTGGGATTCGGACCATTGTAATCCATCAAATCAGTGGTAAGATCCTTCATTAAAGCATACACATGTATATCGCATATTAAAACCATCTTAGTTTGGGACTCCAACGGATTTCTTCTTGTCTGTAACGCCGTCAACGGCGATCTGCCACCGAGGTCGCTTTCCAAACGCATCGGTGCCAGCGAGTGGATCCGAAAGTCGAGGGTGAAGATATCATACACAGCGTGGCATCGTTTTAATAAGATCACGCCCTAGGGATCCAAGTACCCTCCAAACACCCTCCTCAAAAGGTACTTGGACCCTCCAAACCCACCCCAAACACCTTCTCAGAGGGTACTTGGATCCATAGGGATGTATTACTGCTATAAATGGTGTATACCCGGGGAGTCAAAGACTATAAAAAGAATGGTCTTTAGGGGAACTGAAAGGGAACTTCCTTTACTCCAGCCGGTCAAAAAATAGTCTTTGGACTTCTAGGGTATATACACATGTTGGTTCCAAAAAGGCTTTTTGGCTACGAGACCTGCATCCTACGACAGTCAGGTCTCTTAATTCCTTGCGAAGAGGCACGTGTGCTCTGGGCCCTTCATCTCTTTCCCTCTGGGCCCCCGCACGCGACCCTCTGGAAAGAGGATGAAGCAATCCACGTTCTCCTGGGACCGTCGCTTCGTTCGCTCGGCTCTTCCGCGCGAAAACGGGTAAACATCCCCGTTTCAAAGGACCAAACGACGGATAAAATGAGCAAACACCAATGGAGGTTCCATGCTTTTGTTGGAGTCCCAAAGAGGCCCAACACCTGTAAATTTGCTCAATTGCTGAGTATCCTCACTCCTCATGCAATGGGGGGGATGCAACTTATCTCACCAGAACCAAAGCGCACCGGAACCGCCGCCGACCGGTCAGCGCAGGTGCTTCTTCTCCCCTGATCGCTCACGGCCGCTCCTTGCCCCTCATCCCATAGATCGCGGCGCCACCGGTGTCGCCACTGGTCGCGCCCAAGACCGTCAACCTGTCGTCCGCGGCCGGGATGTGATGAGTGGATCCAAGCGTTGAAGTCCAAAGACCGAACAACCATGCTACATACCATGGTTTCAAAGGTCTGTCTATTTGGGGAAGATGTCCACTTCTTCATTCTATACAGACAAGGAACATGATATGAAATCATCTGAAATCGACTCCGCGAGTCAGATGATGTTTAAAAAAGTCAGGATCTTTATGGTTTTGCCCGTTTTCGACTGAGGCAACGGGTGGGATATCTTCAGAACCTGCCATGGCGTCTGGATTTTGAAACTTCTTTTGGGAGCCCATTCTTAGACACCCCTTTGGGAGCAGTGTCTGTCCAACTGATTGAACAAACAGGACCTTGCTCAACAACGCGCAATGAACGTGGAAGTAGGAATATATGACGAAAACATGACCAAACCGGTCTATGACCAAACCAAGGAGGTCTCTGACAATGGCTAAGCATCTCTCAGATCGTTGATTTCCGCTTCAAACCACCACGGCGCCTAGCTCCCACACTTCCCGCTTCAGCTCCAAGCCGATCGTCGTCCCCGAGGCCTCTTGCCATTGCGCTTCAAGAAGTATTCATAGAGATTTCCCAAGGCCTCTCAATGAATTGGTCCAACATCGGTCTGAACGGTTTCCAAGCCTGGTACAGCTAAGCTCCCTGCCTGGTACAGTATGTGTGTGTTTTTATTTTCTTGCGGAAGACCCTCCTGGACACCTGGGTGTTCAGTCTTCTTGACTTGGAGAGGTCGACCGTAGCGGCCCTAGCGCAGCGCCTGTTGGTTGAAATCAGACTTCAACTTCGACCGTCCACGGGCGAAGTTGGAGTGAAGAGTGTGTCACTCAGAGATCTGCCAGTGACCAAAAAAGCTCCTTCCGGTGACCGAAACCATGCTGAAATATGATTAGAAGCAGCAACTCCCAAGCACGCCATGGGACCTACAGCATGTTTACCGATCAGTTGGGGTAGTTGAATTCAGAGGTCAATGTATCCCATTGGTCGTGTGTTGGGATTGGTGATTCACCCCACCATTGCCACTGACACAAAACATGTCACCTCCGACTTCTGCATCCCGAGATCCGTGGTCCTGCATCACCTTCCGAGTCCTCCTATGGCAACGCTATGTCAACCTACCCTACACCTGGCTTTCAAGCCACCAGGGATCCTTGGACACGCCTTTCGCAGGGCTTGTCGTTCGCCTCAAAACCCGGATCCTGTCCGGCTTCGGCTCGACCGGCTCGCCCTAGGGATCCACTGCCACCCTTCTTCTCAGGTTCGGTACGACTGGGCCCGCCTAGCCCGGCGCCGTCTCATGTCCCGTCTCATGTCTCAGTGCCGAACACAGTCCCAACCGTGACCTGAGGTTCCGATGGTCCAAATGATCCACTATAGCTACATAGGCTACATACCCCAAGTGGCCACTGTCGGGATCAGATGTACGACACCTGCAGGTCTACACATCTGAAAACACCAACATCGCCGAGCCGACGGCAGCTGGTCTCTTTCGCCCGCTCGATCGATCTCGTCTCTCCTCCGGCTCCTACTCTCGGTGTGACCGGACGGAAGTGGCACTCCAGTGGTTCTTGAGGCCCATTTCCCGAGTGGGTGGGAAAAAACACTGGACCACTATATCAGGAGTGTGTGGTTCTTATGATGTGGTTCTTGTGTGTGGAAAACACCTGGTCTTGTCGTGTAACACATTCTAAAACCCTTACCCTCCCTGCAACAATCATGAAAGGAACATAGTCTTCCAAGGGGCCAGAACGTACCTTTTTCATCTTCCATGCCAAAGCTCCCGAGAATAGGGGTAGTCTTTTACACAGTCTTGCAGGCAGCCCAACTCCGCCAAGGACTGCACCCCACCAACTCGACTGGGAAAGACTCCAAAGAACCTGACTGACCAACTGACCAATTGGTCTCATCATCTATACCAGACACTCCATGTAAGCCATATATGCCTACATTGGGGTGGTTTGAGGGGTCAATGTAGGCATATATGACAGACATGGAGTGTCTGGGTATACCACACTTACCAGAACCCCGATTCTTGGACATGTCGAGCTTGTGCTGCCACCGGGTCGATGTTTTGACCATGGATACATCGAACATCGCGTGATGGCCATCTGAGGAGCAAGTATAGTACGATAGATGTGGGACAGCTCAGTCTAAATCACCGGAGCGCGATCTGTGTCACGCTGGCTTCGCCAGCTGATGGCCCGATGGCCCTTCCAGGGTCGAATCAGCACGGCAGAAGGTCCTCAGGTCCTGATGACTTGTTGTCATTCAAACTGATTTGGAATGGCTTTGTGCTCACCCCAACCATCCACGCGATCCCGCCCGTGCTGAAACTGGGGAAAAACCCGACACGGAAAGGCGATGAAGACGTTCTCTTCTGTTTCCCACGCTCACTTCAGAGGAAGGCACACCTGGAGAAGTGTCAAACAGGGTGCGGCAGAAACATGGTAAAGGGCTCTGTTGGGGGGAATTGAGCTAAACCGGACCAGCAAAGCGTTGTATAGTTCTTTAACAAGTGCGATTTACCCTGTTTGGATCGTTAAACTAAAGTAGATCATCGACCTCTAGTCTACTATGTTTGGGCAGTTTTGGGACACGGATGGCCCCAAAAGAAACCTTGCCAATCGGAAAGCTACCCACAAAGGAAACATCCTCGTCTCGTTCGTTCAGAATGCGCATTCGATGCTTCGAGTCGTGTAGCTTGGGATCCACTTCCCATGGCGTAGGGGTCGGGTTCACCGCCAGAGAGGAGCTCCTGAAGCTCCAGGAACGAGACCATCCTTTAAGGGGTGTGGTTGGTTTGGAGATCCTTTCGAAAAAGTTGTTGGGGTTTCCAGCCCATGTGATTTCAGTGCAGCTGGTGCTTCAAACCTGTCTCATGATAATCCTCGCCCTTGGCAAAAGAACCAATCAGGCCGTGTAACAGTCACAGAATCCAAACCCTAGCCTTCAAGGACCACGAAAATAGTTTTTGACCTGGTGTTGTAGTCTGAAGCCATTAGCAAAACAGGGATTGCTCCGCAAAAAACAGAAGATATTTTTAAAAAACAATCAATGGTGGAGCAAGAATCCTAATCGACACTGCAAAAAACGACATGGACCCCTCAACGACCAGTCGTCCTCTTGGAGAGGGCGGATTCGGGAAAGCCAACGAAAGGCTACCAAACATCTTCCCCTGAGGAAGCCAGGAACTTGACCCAGGAGCCGCAGACGTGGTGGCGCCACCGGTGGCGGAACTGGGACAATCAAAAGAAATTTAGACCCCCAAAGTCCCTTAATATAAAAAAGTATATATCCCCCATCCACATTGCGGATCACTATATATCATACTACATCATACGTCCATGCTTTCCACCCAATCACTCAGTCCTTCCGGGCTTGTTAGTTTCGCACCGAGGCGGACGGAACAGCTTCACCGGCGAGAGTTAGATCGGCTTGGAATGAAACACGCCAATGAAAATTGAAGCTGCGGCATTGGCCACCTCTGCCTGTTACTATCCACATTGCTTCTTAGCTTGGTCAAGGCCTTCGTATTGCACCCAGCAAGCCAGCGAAGCGCAATTTAGCATATCGGAACAAAGGCTGAGACAGACCCTGGGAGAATCGGATATGTTCTGCTGCAGGTGAAACATCACTCGAATTCGTACTTAGTGCCGTGAACCTCGCCTCAAATCGGATTGCAACTTGACGTGCCACTGTGGTCGGGCTTCTGTATACTGTTCGAAACTTTATGTGAATTACACTCGGCGCATGGTTGAGGTGAGGCCTCGCATCGCTAGAGCAGTGCGAAAGAAGTAAATCGGTACAAAGAAACCGCATCTAATGTACAGTGCAGGTGAAACAGCAAGGAACAAGGAACAAATCGAATGAACATTTCGAGATTACCCGCCCTCCGGCCAGTCACCTCAGCGCCTCACCTCGCTTTCCCCCATCGCATCTATCACATCAGCACGCGTTCCGATGCCGAACGTGGCCTTCAGTGGCTGTCCTCGAAGGAGAAACCCGACTTCAAGGACGGCCGGACGGCCACGGCCTCGGCACCGGCGCGGTCGGCCGTCGGATCGCGAGGGAATCGTGGCGCGCGCGCGGGGAGGGAGCACCGAAAAGGAACGCGAGCTTACGTGGCGGTAGATGGAGGCGTGAGCTTAGGAAGGGGGGAAGGGAAGAAGCTTTCAAGAATCCTGCGGGAGGGTAGACTTCAAGGGAAACATCCCAGTGATGACAAGGATACAGTGATACTTCGAAGGCTCCTCCGGTGGGAGGGCAAACTTTCAGGGTACTCCAAGATGTCAACTTGTTTCTTTATGCCTTCTCTCGTGGAGAAAAAAGCTCAAGAGACCTGTCTGACAGCAGTTTCAAAACATGGCGCCAGTTTTTGGTCGGCGAAACGGAACTGCTATACGTTCACAGAACTGCTAATTACACAGTTGGAAGATCCAGGTACTGATCCAGGTCTATTATGAGCTACCATCAGTCCCTCAGGAATTTACAGGCACCTCCTACTCTTCGATGCTCACGTCCCTTCACCGGTCAGCCGGTGACGCGTGGTCCACCGATGCTCCGCCCAGCGGCGCTGTCGTCGTGGTCCTCCGTGGTCTGCTCGGCGGTGGTCATCGTGGGCCCCGCGGAGAGCCGCGCTTTCACCTGCAGATGAGTTAGAGCTGAAGCAGGTGAGTGCGAGGTGAGTGCATAGGTCTATAGGGTATGTTTGGGCAAGTGGTATGTGGTATGTTCTACAGGGCAGAACACGTGCTCAGATGTGGATGGTTCCTTGGATGAGCCCACACATAGGCTGGGATGTGGGCGGGTCTGGGTGCTGGAAGCTCCCACTCCCCAAGTGGGGGGAAAACCATTAGGAGGTCCTGGTCCCAACAAATTTCGGATGATGAATAACTGTTTTGGGCACTTGTCAATCCAATATAGCGCAATAACGGCAATAAGTTACTGTGCAAAAGGCATCAACGTTGCACAGTTGGAAGAGGGCATAAGTAAATATTCGTTGGCTCTCCCGCATCTATCCCTTGCAGATCCAGGCAATCCTGGACAGCTGTTCTTCGTCCACCTTTGAGCCCCGGTCGCTCTGCGCGAGCTACGCTCCGCGACGCCGAAAAAGACGACGGGCGCCGAGCGACGGGCTTCTTGCGGGCCTCCTGGGGCGACAGGCTCGTGGCGGCCGCACGGATGAGCGCAGCTTGGGCCGTCTCTTGGGGGCGAGTTTTAGACGGAGCCGGGCTGAGGAAATGACTGGTGACGGTGAGGTGCACGAGCTTGTATCAGGTTCCCTGGCCTTCGGTTCGACCACTTGAGAAATGATGTGACCGTTTTGACCCAGTAGCCTGGTCATTAGCCTATATATTATAGTCCATACATTCCAAAAAACCTTAGTTTTCAACTTATAATGTTTTTTAAACATTTTAACTGTTTTTTGTAGCCTAAAGTCCATTGCAGGTCAATTGAACGATGCGAACGGTTGTGAACCGGTGAACCAGTGAAGCAAACGAACGACTTCCACCTGTTTTTTTATCGGAGTGGGGTGGTAACTCACTCACCAATGCCCCCCTCCAAAGAGGCAGTGCCTGCCTGCTTGCGGATAATGAGACATGGAATGAAACCCAGTTGTTTTTGTCCAAGGAAAGCGAGCTCAGCTCACTTGAAAAATATCTATCCATGGTTTCAATCATCCCAAGTTCCCAAGTACAGGTTGAACATACCGATATCTGAAACCACCACACAGTCTGGATCACCTGCAGGTTCGGGCTGAGATTTCTCCAGCCAAACACCGAACATATCTTGAAGGTTCATTCTTTGAGGTTTTACAATCCAGTTGGGGGGTCACTGTATGAATCATCAGCCAGCATATCATGAGATCTAAATCTTCCGGCCCGACACCTCCACCTGTATCTCGCTCCATCTCCACCTGTAGATTTCAACTATCGAATCGATCTTGCCATTCCCCGTTCTTTTCAACGTACCTTCAACTATCGTCAAAAAGGGACCAAACAGGAAGTTTGGAGATCTAGAAACCACAAATCTTCCGGATCTTGAATCATTTGAGGTCATTCCATCTTCCTAAAAAAAAGATGTTGAACATAGTTGAACATCATCTTAACACATTCATATGTCACAGTATAATCTTGAACCTCCTCCAGGGCCCCCTTTTTACAGATTCTAGTAGCGGGGGGTATACTGACCCCATGGAGGGTATACTGACCCCGGACCCAGTGGAATTCACCTCGACCATCTAACGAGCTCGGCTCGGCAGGCGCTCCTCGATGGCCCGGCGGAGGACCGGACCAGCCACCTGACGGAGAGGACGGTGGAGGACGGTGTGTGGACCGTGGAAACAGGACGGTGTGTTCTGTAAAACCAGGCAGTTTTAGGTTGGTTTGGGTGGAATTTGGTGGAATTGACCTTGGTTTTGGTGGATTTTCTGAGAAGGTATACTTGGTTTAAGCGTTGAGGCAGCTGGTCTCAGTGGATTTGGGGGAAAAAGGCCTTAGTTCGTAGCTCAGAACTGGCAAGACACACGTTCATTCACCAGGCACTCTCGCCGTGTCTCTCCAGCATTCCCATGAGTTCGATGGAGGCACGGCACCGTGGTCGTCGTTTCAGTCGTTTGGCAAACGCCGGATATGGCAAAATGCCAGTGGTCCACCCAGTCCCAACCAGAAACAAGTCTGCTTGTTCCAATATGGCCATTGAAATCCTTTACATAGGAAATGGCTGGGACCTGTTGACCTGTTCTCCAGAAAATCTGGACCGGCAAAGGAATCGCTGAGCGGGCTCGCTCTGACTCGACTCAGCACCGAGAATCTATTTCCCTTCTGATGGGAGCCAAGACATGGTACTTTTCCGGGGTTCTAGGGGGGACCCCAAAAAACATTTAAGACACCTGTGATCTGGATGCTCTCGACCAGCTTGCTGCTCAAGCTGAAAACCCTAAATCCTAAACTCTTGAACCCGTCACGCGACCAGCTTCCTTGGTTGGGGTCCTGATTTGGGCTCCTGGCCGACCTCCGTTGGGGCTCGATACGGGGGGTTGAATAGCACCGAACCTGAGGAGATGGGACAGGAGCCCCAGGGAAACATATTGACAATGTGTGTTTCTCAAAAAGATCACTGCCGCGTACATCCGCTCACATCCACGGTGATGTCCGAAGGTGAACGATTCAGGCGTTCACAGAAGAGGAGAATCTACCAAGAAGCAGGACCCATGGTGTCCTTCTGTGGTCTATCTTTCAGATTCACCTTCACTGAGCACTGACAGATCTGCGACTCACTGAAGTGATCTCAGCTCTTCAGGAAGAGGCTTCGCCGATTCGAATGGCAGGTAGCAAGTGGTTCACCACCTAACGTAGAGGAGCCTGGCCACATGGCCGCTTTAATCTTGCTGCGCAAAACCGAGGGATTTCTGGGATCAACGACATCGAAGATTCCACATTGACCATCACTGACCATCTTGACTACACAATCTAATACTTTAAGCAATCCACAAATTAAGGATATTGACCATGCCCAAACCGACATGGACCACCAAAATAAGACCCTTCTCATGAACCTGTGTCACAGGCCTTCAGGCAACAACTCGGCAACAACTCGGCAACACAACCCGCCAGCAGACGACCCCCACGCAGTCTGCGCCAGTCTGCGCCTCCTTCAGGTTCTCCAGCTTCTGCTTCGTTTCCAGCAATCTTGCCTGGAGAACCGTCGAGCCCTCGAGCCGTCCGCGCGGGCCCGTCAGCCGTCTTCGTCTCGCCCAGCAGCGCTGTCCCTGGACTCGGAGGACTGCTCAACGAATGGGAATGGAAGAGGTGCCAAGATGTGCTTTTCTTCATGTGGATGTTACAGCTGTGGGGTCGCACCAAAGAGAATGGGTGTGAGAAACGAGACATTGTCGACATGTACACCTCTTGAAGCGAAGAATTTCACTTCAAAACAAGGCAGACTCCTCTTGGTATCCTTTCCTACTCAGCAAAACTGCCGCCACTTCTTCGACATCGTCGAACATGACACCTGAAGACATCTGAGTCAAAATCAATGGTGCTTTGCATCCTCCCCCGGGCATCCAGTTACCACCATGTCGCTGGTAACCAGTGGTTCCAGTTCGACTAAAGCCATCGATTTAGAACTCCTGGTGCTTTTATGTAGTGGTAACTGGGATGCACTGGGCTGGGGAATATATATATATACAGTATATATATATATATATATCCCTAGGCTCCAACTACCTCCTAAGAAGGTGGTGAGGGTGGGTTTGAGGGGTCCAACCACCTGAGGATATGGTTGGAGCCCTAGGGTATATAGTATATACTTGACGCTACAAAAGTCAAACTTGATGCTTTCATGATGAAGCATCACGTAGAACCCTCCTCAAACTGGAATAACCCTTTATATTCCCCTTTGGGAGTTAGGTAGTACACAGTATAACTTGAGCAGTGGTCAACCCATATCGTAGCTCATTTCATCTTGAAACCAAAACTAGCTGGCCTGGACTTTCAACCACCACGAATATCTGCAAGCCTCCCGGCAGGGTCTTTCCAGGATATCGCAGTTTCAACCCTTTTCACCTGCGCAAAATCACTTTCCCGCACTCCAGTGTTTTTTGTGCCTTCCTCAGGTGCACGGCCACCATGCGGCAGAGTAGAACAGGAGTTCTCAGCTGCAGAACCAGCTTTTGAACTCAACTCGGTCAGCTCCAGCTTCGAGCAACAATTGCACAACTTCCATCTGGCCTTTCTCAGCTGCGATCATCAAAGCCGTTGCACCATCTCTTTTTGCTGCATCTTTGTCAGCTCCAGCCTCAAGTAACATCCGCACAATTTCCAATTTTCCGTTCTGAGCTGCAAGCATCAAAGCCGTTGCCCCGCCAGTCATAGCTGAATCTTGGTCAGCTCCAGCTTCAAGCAACAATTGCACAACTTCCAAGTGGCCTTTCTCGGCTGCAAGCATCAAAGCCGTCGACCCATTTTCGTTTGCTGCATCTTTGTCAGCTCCAGCCTGGAGCAACAATCGCACGACTTCCAAGCGACCCGTCTCGGCTGCCATGATCAAAGCTGTTGCCCCAGTTTTCCCTGTTATTTCTTTGTTGGCCCCAGCCTCGAGCAACAATCGCACAACCTCCAAGTGGCCGTTCTTGGCTGCAACATCCAAATATACATAACCATTTGGGTCTTGCGGTTCTTGAAGCAGCCTTTCAACATCAATGACTTTGTTGTATCGACAACCATCAAGTAGTTCTCGTTCTCGATCAGAATCCGGATCAGAAGCACAAAAAGGCAGAACTACCAGCTGGCAAGATGGTAGTGGTCTCAAGGGCATGTCATCCTGCAGTTCGACTTCGTCACTGAAGAGTCTTTGCTGAAACCTGGAGCACCCAACTTGAACTGAGAGGAGTTGCTTTAGATCACGAATGGTTTCCCCACTTTCCACCATGTGAAGGAACTCCTCCTCATCAAGCTGGGCAACTGTTGTCCCGGACAAAGCCGTGACCAGCATCATTGAGATTCAGAAGCAAGCGATGCCGGCTTGAGCCGTGGTCTGAATCAAGGCTGCAAAAACTGTGTTGGAAGGTCCAGATCTGTTCCACGAAGTATGAGGATCTCTTTAAAATGATGATCTATCTCACAGAAAGGAACATGGACACCCAGCACAGCAAGCCAACCCTGGAGAATCTACGTATACGCGACTTTAGTATGAAGGAATGCATACGAGCAACTGGCCACACCAACAAAAACCCAATAGACCATCTATCTATGGAACCCTTTAGAACACCTCAAAAGGACCCTAATGTATGCAAAGATTATAAATTATATACCAATGGATTCTTGTGGAAAACACCATCCAAGAATATCTGCAAGCCTCCCGGCAGGGTCTTTTCAGGATATCGCAGTTTCGACCCTTTTCACCTGTGCAAAACCAAAACCACTTTCCCGCACTCCAGTGCTTTTTGCGCCTTTCTCAGGTGCACGACCACCATGCGGTCCAGAGTAGAACAGGAGTTCTCAGCTGCGGCTCCAGCTTCTTTCCATCAAAGAAATCAAAAAAGCTATTCTCGGATCGCTGATTGCTGCATCTCGGTCAGCTCCAGCTTCGAGCAACAATCGCACAACTTCCGTCTGGCCTTTCTCAGCTGCGATCATCAAAGCCGTTGTTGCTGCATCTTTGGCAGCTCCAGCCTCAAGTAACATCCGCACAACTTCCAATTTTCCGTTCTGAGCTGCAAGCATCAAAGCCGTTGCCCCGCCAGTCATAGCTGAATCTTGGTCAGCTCCAGCTTCAAGCAACAATTGCACAACTTCCAAGTGGCCTTTCTCGGCTGCAAGGATCAATGCTGTTTTCCCATTTTCGTTTGCTGCATCTTTGTCAGCTCCAGCCTGGAGCAACAATCGCACGACTTCCAAGCGACCGGTCTCGGCCGCCAAGATCAAAGCTGTTGCCCCAGTTTTCCCTTTTCTTTCTTTGTTGGCCCCAGCCTCGAGCAACAATCGCACAACCTCCAAG